GGGAAGCACAACAATAAAGTACCCCACTATGTGCGTGAAGTAGAGTGATCCTGTTACAGGTGCCTAGCCTGGCCCAGAAGAACCCACCCCAGGGGTAGTCCTTCCATGTGACCCACACTTGATGCCCAACGGGTTAAGGGGGAACATGGAGGAAGGTCCATCGTCAGCTAACCCCTGCTCCTGCCAACAGACTCTCAGATCAGTTATTCATCATCCCTTATGGAAAGAACATAGGTAAGGAGGCCTCAATGCATTCCATTGCTTCCTGGATACTTAAGACTGTTCAAACGGCATACATGGATAAAAATTTTACTCTACCTGAAGTGAAAGTGCATTTAACAAGGAATGTCACCACTTTCTGGATGTATTCTTTGAAAGTTCTTCTGTAAAGAGACAACCTGGTCGTCTTGGAAGGCATTTATGGTGCATTATTGTGTTGAGACTACCTTTATGACTACTGTAGCATTTGGCAGGAAATTGCTGGCAACTGTAAAGCATGTAAACATTTTTCTTCCATACCATATACTTGTATAAAAAAGTATCCTGTTCTCTTTGTATTGCTTCTTTTGTGTGAAATACCTGGTTTTCCTGCCAACCCCTCTGCTTTCCTGTTAAAAAACTGACCACACTAAGCATGAGAGTCCGTTTTCTAGCTGTGCTGGAACCCAGCCTGCTCTCCTCCACTGATCAGACTTTTTTTTTTTTTTTTTGATGTGATGTGAGCTACAAGGTAAAAATAGGTTTTCCTCTCTTCATCACCAACTTCTGTGTCTTACTAAAGAGTTAAGCTGCCTGTGGATGATGCCAAGTCAGCAGGCAACCATAGTGTCCAGACAGACTGGGTTGATTTAAAAAAAAACTGGAGGGTTAAAAAATCTGGTGCAGTTCTGCACAGAAGCCAATCAGCTTCCAGGTTTTTTTTTGTCAAAGTTTAATTGAACAAGCTGAAGTTAGAATCTGATTGGTTACCATGCACAGCTGCACCAGATTTTGCACTCTCTAGTTTCAATCACCCTCAATGTGTCTATGGAGTTATATCAATGCATAAAGCAACTTTTGAAACCGAACACTATTATATTTTTAGGTTTAGGTAGCCTTAACTTCTAAATTGGCTTTGCATATTGCTAAATAAATACACTTTATTGCAAACATTTATTATATTACAGCTTATGAATTCTTAGATGTAATTGCTTCATTAATTTCCTGTTTTTGGCTTTCTTTCCTTTATCGGCACCTGCTGATCTAGCAAGTACATCTGTTGTTTTTCAACATAACAAGCTCTTCTGCAAATGTATCAGTTAAGTGTTGAGACAAACCATTTACTACTGACAGGGGTGCTTACAATGATCAGCTTTCATTTATTCATGTAAAACCTTTAACTCAAAAGAAAAAAAACTGTTGCTGTAACTGCAGTATAAGCTGGAGTTTGGCTTCAGTTTGTTAGTGTATCTAAATCTTCTAGTCCTTCTAACTCTCCCCTCCCCCCAGTTTAACAATAATACTGTTTGTTGTGCCCCTGTGCTTCTTCATCCAGAGTGGGGGCACTCTAATACAAGAGGTGCATTACTGGCCAGATCACCAGGTGAGAAGAGAGGGGAAAAGCCAAAAAACGAAAACTAAGACAGCCACCACTTCTAAGGATTAGTAAGCTGCAATATATTAAATTTGTTTTTTCTTCTTCTCAAAAGAAAAATAATGTTTTACATAATTTCAACTGGTTACTGGTAATATGGACAAAGAGCTTAGCCCATCTGTACTGTGCCTTGCATCTGTATTGGATAATTTGTACAAAAGTGTCCATGAAGGTTATTTACATTATGTGTGGGAGTTTTTATTTCTTGAAACTAAGTTTTACAGTCCATACATTTGCTTATAACCCTGCCTATGTGAATCAAATATAAAACATCTAATGAAAATAGTTTGTAAATTACAAACTAGAATGAAACAATGAATACAAATATTTTTAATAGTATAATCCAAACGCTAACAATTTACATATCAAAGCAAAATTCAATATGAAATTACATTATTTTATGTAGGATTACAAAAAAAAATCTGAATCTCATGGTCACTTTTGCTCTATTAGCAGGTTGTACTGCATCAGCTTTTACAACTCTAATATTGCAGCAGTATGGAGCAGATTTATAAAAAGGGAGTAAAAATGCAGCATTTACCCATAGAAAACTAATGGGTTTCACAAGAAGCAAGGAACCTGTTCATATTTTTAACTGCTCCAGTTTTTAATAACCATATATACTGCTATAAAGTCATTTATTCTTAATGTGTAAAATATGAACATGAATACATGGAAAGTACTACTCGATCCTATAACATAAAATTACAAATGTAAAAATACAAATAAGTCTTTAAACGAGAAACTCAGGATAAAAAAGGCCAAACATTCATATTCACTTAGAAGGGATGCAACATCGATCCAATGATGCATCTATCCCCTACCACGTCTACACCAAGAGCTGAGCAATCAAAGACCACTGATCGCTCAGTTCTCAGTCTTCAGTGACCAGACAGTGGTGACTGGCAGTCACCAGCTCTCTACTCCGCCCCTCCAGTGATCACTGGAGTGCTGGGGTGGGAGTGGTTAGCTCAGGAAAGCAAGCTGCTGGTCCAGACATCTGGGTGGATCCCAACATTAAAGACTGGATATCTCCAGAGTCTGGACCAACTAAATGATGTCAAACAACGGAGGGATTTAGCCTGCTGTAGGATGAATGGGGGTCACAGGAGTGCAGAATGAAATGCACTCCTGTGATCCACAGAACTAGGACCAAAAGAGCTTAGGTCCTACTTTTCCTTTAACTGAAACAAAAGCAGGTGCAATTTCAGGATATAACAGATAAAGTTGTCCATCTGTAACCCAATTTTTCAAGCAGTTAATGCTAGGGGTAATCGAGCTGTGTATGTAATTGATAGCAAGAAAGCAGCTATGTAATAAAAAGTCATCTAAAGCTGGCCATAAATATATAGAGATTTATTTCCGTCAGTCTGCAGGCCAAACAAAAGAAATCTAACAGATTCTCCCACTGTGGGGTTTTGTATTCCGATCAGTGCCTGCATCTGTTTGGATGTAGGTGATTTTCTGCTGACAAGTCACCATGTGACATTGCCAGGTGGCTTATTATAAACTTACCTCTAGGTAAAAATATAAAAAGTGACTTTACTACTACTTTAACCACCTCCCGCCCATTATGTAAGGAAATAACGGACGGGCGGCGGTTCTCTCAATCTGGGAGGACTTCATATGACGTTCTCGCACTCTAGCTACGCATGTGCACCCATTGGTTGTGCGCTGTGTTCCTGGAACACAGCGGATCGCCGATCACAGTAAAGAGCCAATGACATAGGCTCTATCATGTGATCAGCTCTGTCCCATCACAGCTGATCACATGTAAATGGGAAATGCCGTTTATCAGTAGTTCTCTCCTCAGGGAACTGATGATCAGTGTAGCCCCATCAGTGTCACCTATCAGTGCCACATATCAGTGCACATCAATGCCACATATCAGTGCCCATCAGAGCTGCCTTTCAATACCAACTCTCAGTGGCAGTCAGTGCTGCCTATCAGTGCCAGTCAGTTCCATCTATCAGTGTTCGTCAGTGCCACCTAACAGTTCTTATTAGTGCCATATATGAGTGCTGCCTTTCAGTGCCCATCGGTGATGCCTGTGAATGCCCTCCAGTGATGCCTGTCAATACCCATCAGTGCCACCTATCAGTGCCCATCACTGCAGCCTCATTAGCGCACATCAGTGAAGGAGAAAAATTACTTATTTACAAAATGTTTATAACAGAAACTAAACATTTTCAGTCTTTTATAGTTTGTTTAGCAAAAAATAAAAAAAACCCAGTGGTGATTAAAAACCACCAAAAGAAATCTCTATCTGTCTCAAAAAAAATGATAAAAATTAAATTTGGGTACAGTGTTGCATGACCGTGCAATTGTTATTCAAAGTGTGACAGCTGAAAATTGGCCTGGGCAGGAAGGGGGTAAAAGTGTCCTGTAGGCAAGTGGTTAAGAGATGGTCTGTTTGTCACATTGTATTATAACAGAGTATATAGATTATATTATATTGTTTGTATTGATTGTAGTGACATTGTTTACCCCAGTCTCATTATTACATTATTAGTAATGTTGTTTTTTATTTGATTAGAAATAATACAGAATTTTCATAATCATCCTTCTTCCATTGACCTACAAGCCCAACCATCAGTATGACACAGTTAAAATCATACAAACATAAACAACATATATTTATATTTACAAAGCAAAAAATATAAAAATAAAGAAGTTCAGCAAATGTGCATGTTTCAAAGGAACACTATTGCTTGTATAAAAACACTGTGGTTGACAAACCTAAAACAGTTAAAAATATTTTCACTTGTAAAAACTCCTACATGGCTATATAGGTTACAGGGACTAGGAGATGCAATTAGCTATTTCATCTGCATAAAACAGTGCAACCATACATTCATAAAGGTTCTCCTAGTCTGTTGAGAGCTGCAGCTGAAGAGCAATATTTCTAATGCGGAATGGAGGAGGGTACGGGGTATTAAAGTGCATTCCATTTTATTTTTAAAACTGTAAAATATACCCCTCGTATTTTACTTTGGTGACAGGAAACAGTTCTACAAAAAATATAGTAATCTTACTGATTTTCTAATGTATGGGAGTACTGTCCGTCATACTTGTTTTATTTGCACTAACATACAATTTTCAGGACAAGCTTTCAGTATTACTGTTTGAGCCTTGAAGAAGGGGACATACCCTGAAAGCTTGTCCTAAAATTGTATGTTAGTGCAAATAAAAAAGTATCGTGGACAGTACTCAGTTGTTTCTGTTTAATACATCTACAATCACCTCAAACTAATTTATGGGAAACCTCTTCACTGTTCCTTTTTTCCATAAACACTGAAGGTGTTAGGGTTTTAATAATTTTGCATAGAAAGTGATCAAATATACAATGTAAATACAATCATGGTTCTTATGACTGATTCTTCCCAAGGTCAAAACTCTTTTTACTTCTCCATCTCAGTAATTTGATGAAATTAAGGCTTGCATTGAAAATTTTGTCATGATGAAAGACCATCTTGTAGAAGGTATCGATGGGTAAGTCACCATTTGGATCAGCATATTTTAGCGTTGTCATTGGGGTGTAGAGGGTGTTTGTCTGGTGACGGAAAGGTGGATTATCTGAGAGAATAATCTTCATTGTGTGCTGAAAAAGTAAAAGAAAGAGAAAAAATAATGTCATGTTTAGGAGCATCCACTTGACATCAATGGTAATGATATCTGCAAATAATGAAAACCGCATAACATCTAAACCTAAAGGTATATCTAGACATGATAATTTGAAATCTGGGTAGTTGTGCACATGGGAGTTTAAAGGGGACAATAAGCATGCATTTCCAATTCTAGCCAGTTACCATTTACCCACCAAATACCGAACACACAAAATAGCATAGTGCATTACCTAGTGTTGCATAGTTACATATGTTCAGGGGACACCAGCCCAACATGTCAAATTACCTATCTTTTCAGAACATTGGCTAAACAGTGTTTGACCTCCCTAGCGGTTTGATTATGTCAGTATTTCTGTGCTCAAAGCGGTACATTGTTTTCAATGGAAATATGTTGTTTTTTTATTGTAGGCCTGTAATTTTTAGGAATAACTCACTGAAATCAAGAGTCTAGTAAACATCCCTGGTATGATAAAATTTGAAACACGAAATCATAAATTATGATATAATAATCATAAAAAATAATATAATACATTTAATTCAATAATGTAATCAAACCAAAAATACTGAAATTGGAAATAGAGCGCCAAGTTCGCACATCACTGAGCTTAGTCACAAAATCGTTTTCAGTGTCTGATGACGAATTCCCCCACGAAACATCGCTCAATTCTGCAAGTGGTTCTAATTTACTATCGCTGTTCTCTAGCTGGTCTAAAACCGCTTTTGACCTAAAGGGACGCTTTTTGGACGCCATGGACATTTCTCAGTTTCCAGGCAGATAGAACAATAAAATGTATGTGAAATAGTTTGATATAGTAATGTAATACTATCAGATTTTAGTGTATTGAGTGAATGTCAAATTTTTTTTTTTTTGTACATTCCCGCCAGTTCCGTCCACCGTACGTCCCGACACTCGCAGAGAATGGAACCCGGAAGACGGATGCCAGCATCGGCCGGAGGACATGGCCGGGGACACTGCAGGGGGGACATCGCGGGACCGCAGGAAAAGGTAAGTGCTCGAGGGATCCCAGAGGAACACTGCAGTGTAATCCTGAGTGTAGCTCAGGGTTACCGCTTCTGGTACTGAAAGATAACCCCGAGCTACACTCGAGAATACCACCAGGGGGTTTAAAGCGGAGTTCCACCCAAAAGGGGAAGTTCCTCTTTAAAGACTGGTCCCCCCGCTCCCCATTAAGGATTGGCATCTTTGGGGAGTGGGTACCCAAAATTGACAGGAACCTGCTCCCACTTCCGCTGCGATCTCCTAGGTGATTGGAAGTGGAAGTTGTCCTCCTACCCTTCCTTCCCGTAGTCTTCTGGGACACATGGCAGGTCCCAGAAGACTAAGGGGCCATTCAGGAAGCGCAGCGCTACTCGCGCATGCGCAGTGGGCACCCGGCTGTGAAGCCACAAGCTGTCACAGCTGGGTGCCCACACTGAAGATGCCGGCGCCTGGAACACAGGACGGCCGGTGAAACGGGCTGCGGGGAGGACACCGTGGGATCATGGTACAGGTGAGTGGCTGTTTTTTAAAAGTCAGCAGGTACAGCTTTTGTAGCTGCTGACTTTTATTTTTTTACAGTGCAACTGAAACTTCACTTTAAGTAACACAGGTTACTTTGAGAGTCTATCCTCGTGACATGATTTACACTGGCTCTACACTCCTTAGTTCCTTTGAGGATCTGTAATGCTTGTTTTACATCCTTGTTTGTGAGTATATATATTTTATTTAATAAAATCACAGAATTACTGAGGTAATGCGCAAGGTTGATGAGCTCTTTCTTTTTGCTTCACTTCTAAGTAATACAGGTATCAGGAGCTCTTCTAGTGTTTGAATAGCTAGAATGTGTGATAAGCCACCACAGGGACTTGTCGCAAACGTGCGCACCAGAGACTGAGCAGTCTGCCATTTTGTTATGAGTAGCCATGTTATTCCCTCATTCTTTCCCCCCCCCCCTCTCACTCTGAGAGGCACAGTGACAGATGTGTGTGTTAAAAGTGTCACAGGCCAGATCCCAGCAGGGAGCCACGTGGTGCCCCACTGTCCCAAGAACCTGTGCCATTTCACACCTCGGGAGAGATAAGGCAAACTTTCCCAGAAGTTGAAAGAGATTCCGAGCTAATAAACCTAGCTCAGCGTAGGTGATAGAATCAGATAAACACTTCTCAAATCCATTTTTCCCCTATGTCTCATATCTTGGAATATGAGAGACTTACATAAAAACTGAGCATCTCGCCAGATGGGCTAAGAGGAGCCGAACATTTTGGTGGGTCACTCGCCTTGTCTTGGACACACAGGGAAGCAGAAACATAGATCTCGTGAACCGTGCAGTATATAATTTCATAATTCATATCTAATAAATCCTCAGCCTTGTCTGCATAATAATCTACCCACGGGTTGACTGTCACTTGTGCAGGTGAAAAGTTATAGGCTAATATGAGTTATGGAAGATATTTTTGCTCTAGTTTAGGCATCCACCCCTATCTCCGCGCCCTAAGTGGAGATTGGCCTTTGACTGCAGAGCCATCCCCCTGCTGGGGACTTTAAAACAGGCTGGCAGGCCTAAGAAGTTGAGTTGAAGAATTCTCCCATTTTTTCCATCGTAACATAGGGAGATCAAAGCACCCTTCTGCTCTGAAACTTGGATCTGCTAACCCAGGACTTTGGCAAGTACTTTAACCCTTTCACCTCTCTCTGATATCTCTTTCCTGTGCTATGGTTCTTTGTATATTTATATATATATCTTAGTTACATCTTTGTTCTGTAAATATTTTTATTGCTCCTGTTTGACCTTTTTGTAATAAATCTTTCTTTCTGAAAGTGTTGAACTGTTTCTATAGCTCTGTATTGCAACTCACGAATTCCTGCCTCTAAAGAGACGCTACTGTGGTTGTTTAAACCTCTGCATAACCGGCCTGCGGAACATTTTATACAGACGATTATCTCAATCATTATAGTATTATAGCTGATAACGCCGAGTTTCCTCTTTCTCTGTATAAAAAGGAGGTGGTGGCAATGTGAAGGGTTAATTGCGTAATTAACCTGACCCAGTAACAATTGCCCAGGCTGCCGGTACGTCGATTGTGGTCCGTTAGCTGGAAAATCGTTGTGCAGGGTGCAGCTGGGTGTGGCATTGTTACGCATGTCACATCACGGTTTTAGATTGGCTAGTCCTTCGGTCACGAGTTTGGTGAGAAGGTCTGGGGTCTGACGCTGCGATCGTGGCAGGACTAGGACTAGGTATAAATCAAGTCCAGTCTGTTACACTTCCTCAGACAGTGACTCCATCTCAGATTTCAGAACCTGGCTGGGTGGCCACAAGGATTAGATTGGAGTTGGGGTCTGTCAATGTCTAAAAAAGGCTGCTGGAACTTGCATAGAGGGTGTCCCAAACAAAAAAAAAAAAGAGGGTGCTGCTGCAATCATACGCTTTTAAACTGTCCCTAAATGTCCTGTAATATCTGCAAGCTTTGGACCCAAAAAGGAATGGTTGGGTCTCTTGAGTGTTCCTGCCTAGGATATAAAACGAGGGTAAGTTGCAGCTGTACAGGCAGCAGACATTCCACACACCAGCTTTTCTTAGGGAAAACAACTGCAATTGAACCAGGCCTTCTAGCATGTTCTTTCTTCCCTAAGAACAGACAGCAACATTTTCTGATTGCCTTCTGCTCTGGCTAAGAACAGTTTGATTGGGAGACCTTTATCTATCATATGTTGGTTGTTTTGGATGTCAACTCTAGTTTGAATTGTCAGGAGGATTCTTTAATGCTTTTACCTCTGCTACATCTTCAGCTGTCTGGCCCAGGCTCTGGAAGATTGACTTATAATTTTTAAGATAAACATTGGTAAACATCTCTGCAGTTTCCTTATCTGCTCCAGAAAGATCCATTTTCATTCCGTCTTCGTAGACTTTCCTTTCAAATTCTGTGATGACCGGGCCAGGTTCAATTAGGCTCAGCCTACAACATAATAATGAGACAATACAGTCAAACAAAAAATGTTTATCTACAATTAAATATTTAAAATAGAAGTATACATCTGAAAAAAAAATAGAAGTATGGCCAAAGCTTTTTTGGCCATATTTCTGTGGGTAACAGGAGTGCACTTACTTTTGGTCTCCTGCTACCCAGAATCAGCTGATAGCGGCCTATTACCCACTATCTGCTGACATGGCAGAACCTCTCCAGGCTCTCCAAGGGTCCAGACAATATTGTCGGGATTGACCCACCTGTCTGATTGACAGCTGGCTCTACCTTTCAGCATTGTGGCTGAGAGCTGGAGCCAGCTGCGTCCACCCCCTCCCTAATCCATTGCTGTCAGTCACCATTTTTCGCTCTGATCAGACTGAAGTAAGTGATCAGTGGTCATGTGATTGCTCAGTTCTTTGACTTATAGCTGATGTGGGACAGCTGCAGCATTTCACCAATGCTGCAGCATAGAGGTATGTGTGTTTATTTTTGTTAGCCCCAAAACTTCTGCTTTAATAAATGCAAAGGTATTCCTAGAACAATATGGTTTTTTCTAAAGACATTGCATAGCAGAAGCTGTTTGCCTTAAAGCTGGCTTTGCCTAATTGAAACACTGGACTAAGCTGTCTGATAAAGGATGAATTACTGAGATACAGTAAGCCATTCAGTTCTATATCTAACCTGCAAATTCAGCTACAGAGCCTGTAAGCAATGGACTGATTACAACAGGCTGCTAAGCAGTTTCTGTAAAACAAATGAAAAGGAAACTAAAACTCTACCTACTGGCTAAAGATTACAAAATGGTAATATGCTACATTTTATTTTTAAAAGAAAACAATGTCATTCCTTGTTTTAGCCCATTTATTAGTATCTGTGTATAGAAGTTGTAGTTTTTTTTTATTATTCTCTCAGGTCATAGCTCTTTAGAAATTCCTAGATTACAATTGTAAATCTATGGGGGGGATTTACTAAAACTGGTGAGTGCAAAATCTGGGCAGCACTGCAAAGAAGCCAATCAGCTTCCAGATTTTATTGTTAAAGCTTAAGTGAACAAGCTGAAGTTAGAAGCTGATTGGCTACCATGCACAGCTGGACCATATTCTAATTGTACCAGTTTTAGTAAATCTACCATTATGTGTAAAAACACTCTACTTCCCCATTAGCTTTAATTATATATTTTTCTACTGGCTGACCTCAGCCAATAGAAAATAAATAGTACAGGCGTACCTCAGTTTGTGAACGCCTTGGTTAACGTAATTTTTGGTTTACGAATGAAAATCCATTGAAAATATTGGCTCGGTTTACAAATTTTTTTTCGCATTTATTATTATTATACAGTATTTATATAGCGCCAAAGGGTTTGCTCAGCGCTGTACAATAGCAAGGGGAACAGAATATGAGACAAGACAGTAACAATACAATACACGAGGGGTTCGAGGGCCCTGCTCTTTCGAGCTTACAATCTAGGAGGGAGGGGAAGGTGGCACAGGAGGAGATGGCTGTGGGGGATGGAGTGGCAGGAGGAGTGAAGGAGGTTAGTTGTTAGGTGAGGTCGGGTGTTAGGTGAGGTTGGGGTAGGCTTTCCTGAAGAGGAGGGTTTTCAAGGTGCGCCTGAAGGTGGGGAAGGTAGGTGACAGTCTGATGGAGTTCCAGAGGATGGGGGAAGTCCTGGAGAAGTCCTGCAATCGGGCGTGAGAGGAGGAGACCAGGGAGCTAGAGAGTAGGAGGTCCTGTGAGGAGCGGAGGGCACGGGTAGGGTAGTATTTGGGTATCAGGTCAGTTATGTAGATTGGGGCGGCATTGTGAATGGCTTTGTAGGTCAGGGTTAGCAGTTTGAATTTGATGCGTTGGGCAATCGGGAGCCAATGAAGGGATTGGCAGAGGGGGGAGGCAGATGTGGAGCAGTTGGTGAGGTGGATGAGTCTAGCCGCTGAGTTTAGGATCGACTGGAGTGGGGATAGCGCTCGTTTGGGTAGGCCAGTGAGAAGGGAATTGCAATAGTCCAGGCATGAGATGATGAGGGAGTGTACGAGTTGTTTGGTGGTGTCTGGGGTGAAGAATGTGCGTATCTTGGAGATGTGAGCAATGCGAACTGATTATTTGGTTTTCAATGCATTTACGTTATGAGGTGATTGTAGCTGTATTATTGTATTTGCGACAGAAACAATTGCAATGCATTTACGAAATTTTTTTAATCATGTCCCTGTACAGTACTATGCATGTAAAGTGCACTTTATAAAGAGTTTTGAACAGAAAACTTTTTTTTACTTTTTTCTGACCTCCGGAATGGATTAATTGGTTTTCAATGGATTTACAATTTTTTATTTAATCATGTCCCTTTATGTCTTTAAAGTGCACTTTATAAAGAGTTTTGAACAGAAAACTTTTTTTTACTTTTTTCTGACCTCCGGAATGGATTAATTGGTTTTCAATGCATTTACGAATTAATTTTTAATCATGTCCCTGTACGGTATGTATGCCTTTTAAAGTGCACTTTATAAAGCGTTTTGAACAGATAAAAGACTTTTTTAAAACTTTTTTCTGACTTCTGGAACGGATTAATTGGTCTTCAATGCATTGCTGTGGGAAACCGCGTTTCGGTTTACAAATTTTTCGCAATACGAAAAGTCCCTCAGAACGAATGAAATTCATAAACTGAGGTACGCCTGTCAACTGGGAAAGGATAAGTAAAGTGATGATTTCACTATATCCAGAAAAACTTTGACTATACCCTTAAAAGTCTGATTTCCAGTCAGAGTTTTCACAACTGCTATCTAATTGGTAGAATGCTGTGACATGAGAGAGGGATCAACAAAGAATAAACAGCAGCCTCTAAGCACAGGCACTGTTGGATGAAGTAGCAAGAGGAATGGCATTGCTCACAGCAAATATGAAATACAGCATATTATATTTATTTACAGAGAACAAACATTTTTATTTAAGTTTTTTTATCATTTTGGACAAATTGGGAAGAAACTATGTACAAAACCTCTACATATACCATTTGAAGGAAACGCGCTAGAGAAGTACAAAGGATATTACTGCTAACCACCTTTTAAAAATGCTAGTCGCCCAGCTGTCTCAGCAGTGACCCAGAAAATACTGAAAATCAATATAGCTGCCAGACAGTTTTCAAAAGCAGAATTAAGCAATAGCAGCCTACATATTTTCTACAGGTTTCCTTTAAAGGTGGTGACTGGCATGTGGATTTGACCCCTGCCAAATACCATGCTGATAGAACTATAGACTCAATGCATATGTACGGTTGGCATCTGTGGCTTTATGTTGTATTGGCGGAACACTGTATACAACAACTTGGTCACAGTTGGCTATTGCTTATTACAGGTGTGGCCAAAGTGTTGTCCCAATTACATAGACCATAGGGGCACTGATAAAGGGGGGATATGGGGTCCAAATACCTGTTCTCCCTGATTGTGCATTAATGCAGGTGCAAAACCTAGATTAGAAATCGAGAACTCTACTAGTCCTGTTTCCTGCTCACCCACATTCCCAGCTGTGGTGACAGAGGAGCGCTGTGATTTCCCACGTTCTTCACTGACAAATGTGTGCTTGTGGGTTTACAGCACTGCCACTGACAACCAATGCGGGGAAAACTTAATTAACCACTTTCCCTCCAGAGGATTTACCCCCCCTTCCTGACCCGGCCATTGTTTGCGATAAGGCCCTGCATTACTTTAACTGACAATTGCGTGGTCATGCAACACTGCACCCAAATTAAATTTATGTCCTTTTTTTCCCATAAATGGAGCTTTCTTTTGGTGGTATTTGATCGCCTCTGCGGTAGAGATACTGGATTTTTTTTATACTAGAAATGGCCAGTGATTAGCAACTTTTGGCGGGACTGCGGTAGGCATTCTGACACTGGGGGGAACTGACTAACTGTCACTGACATCCCCAATGACACTAATACAGTGATCAGTGCTAATAAAAAGCACTGACACTGTACTAATGACACTGGGCAGGAAGGGGTTAACATCTGGGTTAACTGTGTGCTGTGTGTGTTGTACTGTTTAAACACACTACTTTGTATGGCTCTGCTATGCAGAGCCATACAAAGCAGTGTGCAGAAGCTGCCAGGCAAGAGATCTGTATTGTTTACATACAGACCTCTCCCCCATCAGTGATACTTGGCGGGAAAACACCAGCCGGTACCCGGTGATTGACAGTTGAGGCTGCCAATGGCGGCACAGGTAGGGCGTGCACGTGGCTCACACGCCCCCTACCCGTAAATGCAAAATCACATACATACATGATTTTGCGCAGCCCTGCCACCCTGTAGCAGTATTTCTGCTATAGGGTGGCGAGAAAGCAGTTAATATTGCCACTGACCACCAATGTGGGGTGGGGTAAATAATACTGCCACCTACCACTAATGCGTCGGGAAAGGGGTTAAGTAATACTGTCATGCTTGGTCTGAGGTTTTTACATGTCTCCTAGACTTTTCCTTGGGACACGGTAAAGAATATTTTGTGGGTTCAATGGCAACAATGTACAAAGTGAGAAGGTGCAAATTTTAAACCCCTCCCATTTGTATACACAAATTTTCCATACCCACAATTCTCTGCAGCATGCTGCCCAATTATTTTCCTCTGGATTCCCAAGGCTGCCTGCACCCCATCCCCAGGAAAAAAAAAACTATCTACAGCCCTGCAGTGCATAACCATTTTGCATTCAGCGCAAGGTCTTGGCTCTCCAGAAAAGACTGTTTCTCAGTACAGAAAATATCAGTATCCTCTAACTTTTTTTTTTAGGATAGTTACACTTATTTTTTAATCCACATGTCCCCAGCCCCCCCCCCCCCCACTAACAGTCTTATGGTCATCTATCAAACCATTGAGATATTGCCTGCGTGGTCCACACTACACAGCTGCTTGTCAAAATCTCAGCTGGCCCCACATACCCCTCACACCCCGAATGCATTTATTTCTTAGGTTTTAATAGCCTTACTTACTGCAATTTGAATTTTAGTGCCTGTATTGCGAGACTTTCACAGAAGCCTTCAACAGCAAACTTGGAGGCAGCATACACATCATTAAACAGAATACCTGCAAAAACAAACATACACTTTTATTTCACACTTGGATAGTTAACTACATTGAAAAACACCATTAGTTCAGTTCAGCCTTACATACATTTTCATATTGCTCAGAAAATATTCAAGACTCTGCCTGTGGTCATACCATATACTGTAGATACTTTTCATCATGTCAGAACTAGGTATAGCGGTATTGGTGCCGATACAAGTATTTTCATGAGTACTAGTGAAAATACTATGGATACCTTAACCAATACTTTGCAGTGCGATTTGCGTTAATGGATGCAAATTGCGCCGCAAAGATTAGCATGCGATTTGAACAGGAATGCGATTCCTGTCCAAATCGCATGCAGTTTCCCCACTGCTCCTGTGTGAACCTAGGCTTGTCATAACATGAGTTCACACAGGAGTGGTGCGGCAAACCTCCCAGCAGGCATCCCATGCTGAGTGTCAGTTGTAGGAGAGGAGAGAAAGTGGTGGGCTGCTTTCTTTCCTCTCCTTGCAGTGATGACAGTTCAGGCTAGACAGCAGCAGCTGTCATCATTTTGAAATCCTGTGTGAGCTCGGGGTATGACAAGCCTGGGTTCACACAGGAGCAGTGGGGAAACCACATGCGATTTGGACAGGAATCGTATTTCTGTTCAAATCGCTTGTTATTCTTTGTGGTGGAATTTGTGTCTATTAACACAAATTGTACTGCAAAGTATCGGTACTCGGTATTGGCGAGTACTTGACCGAAAGTATTGATATTCGTGCTCGCAGATAAAAAAAACGGTGCATCCCTAGTAAGAACCTTTGCCACTTCTGGCCTTGTCCATGTGAGCCATAAAATTCATATTGCTCGAACGATCCTAGCAAAATGCTTTGATTCAGGGGTACAGAATTAAAATTCATGGAAGTCCGACCGGTAAAATTTTCTGTTCTCTGCCCTTTTCACATCAACCTCCTCCCCCACACACACACAGCACTGCCCCGTTCACACACCCCCTCAGAAGTGTACTCTGCCCTCCTCCCCTACTTCACATCTCTACCCAACAGTACTGTCATATGCCCCTTCACATCCCCCCACCACAACATGGTCCCCCATTACATGTCCTCCTCCACAGCATTGCCCCGCCCCTCGCATTACAAATCCCTGTGTTCTCTGCCCTTCTTACCTCAACCCCCCCCCCCACAGCACTGCCCCCCCCCCTTTACATCACCCCTTCACAGGACTGCCCCCTTTACATCACCCCCAGGGGCAGACTGACTATTTGGAAACTCGGGCACTGCCCGAGGTCAGTAGGGGGCCCCATGAGATGCCCCTGGTACCTTTTTCATAGGCTTGTTTGAGTTTGGGCAAGGACACAGGGGCCCCATGATCCCCTATTGCCCGGGGGCCCCATTTATTTATTTCAGGTACCTATATAGCGCTGTCAATTTACGCAGCGCTTTACACATATATATTTAACATTCACATCAGTCCCTAACCCTCAAGGGGTGTACAATCTAAGGTCCCTAACTCACATTCATACATACACATACTAGGGCCAATTTAGACAGGATCCAATTAACCTACCAGCATGTCTTTGGAGTGTGGGAGGAAACCAGAGCACCCGGAGGAAATGCATGCAAGCACAGGGAGAACATACAAACTCCATGCAGGAGGCACCATAGTCGGGAATCTAACCCATGACCTATTGTTAGTCCGCCCCTGATCACCCCCCACCCTTTACATCACACCCCACCATCACCACATGCATACAGCACTGTCCCTCTTCACATTTTGTCGCCCCCCCTTTACATCACACACACAGCCAGAGTAGTGTCCCGGCCCCCCTTCACTCTCCTACCTGAGCAGAGAGCGGGAGGAGGAGCATTTCTGGATCGGGTGTAGGAAGCACTGCACATCATTGAACAGAGCCACTTCTTTCCCCCCATCCTCCGCCTCTGTTATAACAGCAGAGTGGACAGCAGGAGACAGAACATTTCCAGAGCCAGTGTGGAATAACAGCACAGTATTGAACAGAGCGTGAGTTCAGGAGCTGTCATACCATTTCTGGATCGGATGCGGAAAGAATAGAGGGTGGGAGCTGGCGGGGTTAACTTTTTGTATTAACCAGAAATTGATTGGCTGCTAGGACCGCCCTGCTTCCAATCAGCTTCTGGTTAACTTAAAAAGTTAACCCGACAGCTCCCACCCTCTAGTCAATGCTGGTCTTTCCGCATCTACAAATGTTATGACAGCTCCCACACAATGTTCAATACTGTGCTGTTATTCCACACTCGCTGCAGAAATATTCTATCTCCTGCTGTCCGCTCTGCTGTTATAACAGAGGCGGAGGATGGGGGAAAGAAGCGGCTCCTAAATGGTGTGACCAGGTTCGGATGAAACAGTGGCTAGGTCCGCATCCGCCATTTAGTGACGGCTGCTTTAATTGATTGGCAAAGTGTGTTTAAAGCTTTCTACAGATGATGAGAATATCAGACGAACGATAATTTTTTTTTTTTTTTTTGCATGCCAGTCTCATATCGAAAACAAATATGTTACTAGAGTTATGGAAATTCTGATAAGGCAGAATACAACTCCAGCAATGATGTCATGTAATGTATTGTATTGTAAAACAGTCTTTCGTTTCTGAGCATGCATGGTCTTGGTCACTTGCTTTTTTTATGGACAAATCCTGCACTGATTAAACAAAAATCGATTGTTCTGTTATTGTACGAGAACATTTTTCATGCTTTGTCCCTTCGGATAAGCTCGCATTAACTGCCGTGATCGGCTCTCAAAAGCTGTGTACTGACAATCAGATTATCAGACGATCGCTCAGAAAGAGGTATTTTTATCTAATTTTCTCATCGTGTGTACTAGACTTAAAAGCATGCAAACTGACTTAAATAAAATGCTGTTTCTAGAGAAGTTTTTCCTATAGAAACCTTTAAAGTTATCCTATGTTTTCATGCACATTAGGACATTTAGAGGCATATTTTAAGCTCAGTGTTTAGAGACAGAAAAAAAACCCTTCTCTTTTGCGTTTTTGAGAGCAGTTTTTTTGGCAGAAAAAAGATAAACGCACCCAATCGCCTGTAAAAAAAAAAAAAAAAAAAACCTCAAAATAAGCATTTTTTTTCTGCCAAGAGCACTGGCGTTTTTTAAAGCCAGTGTGTATGGACCCCAAATATGAGGACATATACACCACACAGTGCTAGAGGGGCAGATGTTCCAGCATATTTTCATAGTACAAAATGTACCTTGTATTCCCATCACGCTGCTTATTATTACGATGTGTCCACTCTTCTTCTTCTTCATGTCCGGTAATATTTCTTTCAGTAGTCTGACCAGTCCAAAGAAGTTTGTGTCCATTACAGTTTTCATTTCTTCAATGGTTTGACATTCAATAGGGCCAATAAGTCCCATGCCTGCATTACTAACTGTGGGTAATAAAGAATATATAGAATTGATCAGATTATGTATTTATTAGAATATATAAACGTACTAACAAGATGGGGATGCTATGTTGTTTTGCATCTCGTTTACATCTTACATACACATACATTTACTTTTATATGACATATGGTGTATGCAAAATGCAGACTTTGTAACGCAACATATCCAAATCTTGTTATGAAAATCTGTCCTTTTTTTCTACATAAACTCCCTTTTTGTTTTTGGCTTTGTTTTAGCTCACAAATAAAACTGTAGTATTGGTGAACTGAAATGAGTGTTGCATGATATAATAACAGATCACTATGTCCTTGGCAATAAATTACAATGTACTGTAAATATTATCAAGTATCAGAGAATTACAGCACTGCAAATATTTGTTGTGCGTTTACTGTTCATGCTTCATTAATGAAAATGAATCTTTTTATTGCTAGCTGTGGACAGTAAAACTGTACAACCTTTAGCTTTGTGACTTAGGGTTCATGTACACTGCAGCTAATAAACTGATGTTCAGGAGCTTTTCTGCATTTTTTTTCAGCAGCCCCTGAACTCTCCCTAATGTTTCCCTATGTGTACACCATGTCATTTACAGGCAGTTTAGTTTACAGTCGTAGAGTCTACAGGAGTAGATTTTATCAGTGTTTCAAACACTTGTAAATGATTGTAAATGCAGCTAACAAAGTTTATAAGCGTTTGTGTTTAGAAGCGTTTTTTAACTGTTGCATACCCAGATGCTGTCCACAGCCTTTTTTCATCATCAGAAATGCATGCAACGTGTTTTCCATGTATTCAAATGGACCAAGTACACCAGCGTAGTCAGTTCCAGGTTTTGCGTGAAGGAAAAAATGGTAGAACGTGCTGCATCATCCTCATGATGGGATCCATAGTGAATACAACCAGAAAAGACAGGTCATCTCAACACATACTGCTCTCTCTGTTTCTCTCAAAATGCCTGAAACAGTTATTTTTATTGTTTTTCACTGCATTCTGGGCATTTTGAAAGGTCTCCTGAGGTTATCTTTAAAAAATGCTTCTAAATGCAAGCAGTCAGTTTCCATTGTTCAGAAGTGTTTTCCAAACATCCCATGTACATGGAGCCTTAGAAGGCTTTTGTGCATCTACAACGCCTCGAACAAACACCCCCAACCTTCTCTGTTTTATAATACTATGAGACATCTACATTTAAATCTCTTTTAATAACACAGTAACAAACATTTCTATGGTCAGATTTTACGATTAGGTTTACAATTTTTCTGCATAAAGTCACAATTGAACATGATGTGGGATAGTCATATTTGTCTTCTTGAAGTGTATGTCAGGGCAAAAAAAATGCATTACCTCTCTGCAATAATAGCGCATTTGCCCATGTTGTATCCCTTCAAAGACCCTGAAAGTACAAAGAAATGCACTCGGCTCCTTATTCCTCCTATGTGCTGACGTCACACAGCTATTTTTGTGAGCAGAGTGGTGTCAGCACTCCCAACTGTCTTTTGCTAAACTACTCAAACCCTTACGCTACTCTAGTTTGCACAACACAAAGACCAATTGATAACAACCAGGAGGGATACTTCGGCTCCGTGTGATAATGTTCTGCTCTGAATTTCTGACATATTCAACAGCTATTTTTGCACTTACAGAACATATATAACAAAACACTTTCAATTGTGCATTTAACTGACCAAAAGGGAGCAAATAAGAAAGAATCATTGTTAGTGTTTACATACACTTAAAGGGTTAGTTTACCTTTACAGAAAAAATGTAAAGGTGATCTAACAATGGACATTCCCATCTACCCCCCCCCCCCCCCAATGACCATTATATTTTTATACTTATCTCCAAGGTTGCCTGCTCTTCTCCCATTTCTACATCAATGCTTCCAGGGCAGCTCAGGTGGATTAGGATTGGTCAGAGCTGTCCATGTGACAGCATTGACCAGTTATAATCCATCTGGTGCATCCATGTGACAAATTGGGGGATGGGGTGGGTGTCCGCTGTTAGTTCACCTTTACATTTTTTCTGTAAAGGTGAACTAACACTTTAAATTTGATTTGGGCATTGAGGGTGCAGGGGTTTCAGCACCAGAAATAATTCACACATTTTCTATAAGACTGTGTTATTCCCACTTACATTTTCATCTCTTGAATACATTTGCGCTGTCTTCCCGGCTGTAGTGTGCGTGACAGCCGGGTCCCAAGTGCGCATGCACAAGCAGCAGTGCTCTTTGTGAATGGTAAGGCGGTACCTGGGACACATGACAGATCCCAGAAGCCGCCGGACCAATCACAAAGCGCAGCGCTTCTCGCGCATGCGCACTGGGCATCCGGCTGTCCAACGAGCGCCCACACTACAGAAGCCGGGAAGACAGCGCGCAGCTGGATAAAGGAACAGGTAAGATAAAAAAAAAAAACTCTGCGGAAGTAAGAGCGGGTACCTGTCAAATTCAGGTACCCGCTCCCCACCTCCCCAAAGGTCAGCAGTCATCTCTGTACTGTCCGCAGTCTCTGGTCATCCCTGTGCTGTCCGCAGTCTCTGGTCATCCCTGTGCTGTCCGCAGTCTCTGGTCATCTCCTGTGCTGTCCGCAGTCTCTGGTCATCTCCTGTGCTGTCCGCAGTCTCTGGTCATCTCCTGTGCTGTCCGCAGTCTCTGGTCATCTCCTGTGCTGTCCGCAGTCTCTGGTCATCTCCTGTGCTGTCCGCAGTCTCTGGTCATCTCCTGTGCTGTCCGCAGTCTCTGGTCATCTCCTGTGCTGTCCGCAGTCTCTGGTCATCTCCTGTGCTGTCCGCAGTCTCTGGTCATCTCCTGTGCTGTCCGCAGTCTCTGGTCATCTCCTGTGCTGTCCGCAGTCTCTGGTCATCTCCTGTGCTGTCCGCAGTCTCTGGTCATCTCCTGTGCTGTCCGCAGTCTCTGGTCATCTCCTGTGCTGTCCGCAGTCTCTGGTCATCTCCTGTGCTGTCCGCAGTCTCTGGTCATCTCCTGTACTGTCCGCAGTCTCTGGTCATCCCTGTACTGTCCGCAGTCACTGGTCATCCCTGTACTATGTCCGCAGTCTCTGGTCATCCCTGTACTGTCCGCAGTCTCTGGTCATCTCCTGTACTTTCCGCAGTCTCTGGTCATACCTGTACTGTCCGCAGTCACTGGTCATCCCTGTACTGTGTCCGCAGTCTCTGGTCATCCCCTGTACTGTCCGCAGTCTCTGGTCATCTCCTGTACTGTGTCCGCAGTCTCTGGTCATCCCTGTACTGTGTCCGCAGTCTCTGGTCATCCCTGTACTGTGTCCGCAGTCTCTGGTCATCCCTGTACTGTGTCCGCAGTCTCTGGTCATCCCTGTACTGTGTCCGCAGTCTCTGGTCATCCCTGTCTCCGCAGTCTCTGGTCATCCCTGTACTGTCCGCAGTCTCTGGTCATCTCCTGTACTGTGTCCGCAGTCTCTTGTCATCCCTGTACTGTGTCCGCAGTCTCTGGTCATCCCTGTACTGTGCCCGCAGTCTCTGGTCATCCCTGTACTGTCCGCAGTCTCTGGTCATCCCTGTACTGTCCGCAGTCTCTGGTCATCTCCTGTACTGTGTCCGCAGTCTCTGGTCATCCCTGTACTGTGTCCGCAGTCTCTGGTCATCCCTGTACTGTCCGCAGTCTCTGGTCATCCCTGTACTGTGTCCGCAGTCTCTGGTCATCCCTGTACTGTGTCCGCAGTCTCTGGTCATCCCTGTACTGTCCGCAGTCTCTGGTCATCTCCTGTACTGTGTCCGCAGTCTCTGGTCATCCCTGTACTGTGTCCGCAGACTCTGGTCATCCCTGTACTGTGTCCGCAGTCTCTGGTCATCCCTGTACTGTGTCCGTAGTCTCTGGTCATCCGTGTACTGTCCGCAGTCTCTGGTCATCCCTGTACGGTGTCCGCAGTCTCTGGTCATCCCTGTACTGTGTCCGCAGTCTCTGGTCATCCCTGTACTGTTAATTAGTTTGCACTACTGTACGAGTTGTTTTTTCTAAACCAAAAGCTCGATATTCAGGTTTCATTGCAGTGTTGGCACTTTGAAAGAAATAAGTTGGTTTTGGGTTGCAGTTTGGGCACTCGGGCTCAAAAAGGTTCGCCATCACTGCTCTAAGACCTGTAAGGAAAAATGTATGTGATAGATTGATAGGTAATTATGGGCATCACGTCACTTATAATTTCAGGGAACACATTTTACTTTTTATCCCATTAAGGTGAAGTTTTACAGAGCCATATAATGGCACCACATAATGTCCCACTGATTGAGTAAAAAGCAAAATGTGTTCCTACCAAAACCTCTACCATTCAAAGACAATAACTAACACTGCTAGGTGCTTTGTGGCAAGCTAAAAGAGGTGCTTGAACCATATTACAATCACATTACAGTATCCATAGGCCATTGACTTATTATGTTATTAAATATCCTGTATAGCCACATAGTACTGGACCTCCAGGGTACCCAACCTTTGGCTGTGCCTGCTCCAGAAACCATCATCTAACCCTACATCAGAATAGGATGTGGAAGGTGACCTACATTTAACTCTATGTTGAACATTGGCTGTCACACTCACAGTGCAGTTCATTGTTGCATCAAACTTCAGAAATATACCTGGTGAAATATACTTTATTCGAGTACAGCATGATAAAGACATGCATAATAAAACACCATAGCAACTACTGTATATAAGCAAGGCTCCAAATGTTTGGAAAGGACTTAAGTCATGTGAACATGGTTTCATACCTAGAATGTCAACTCTGCGATCAGGAATGCTGTTGACACAGTTCTTGATGGATTCTTCACTACACACATCAAGCTGTTTTATCTCCAGGGTTTTCCCCACCAAGCCTTCAGTAGCTTTTAGAAGATCATCCTGCTTTGCCAGGTTCCTCATTGTTGCATAAACTAGATACAATCAAACAGAAAACGTAAATGACATTAGAAAATAGAAGCATTTTACGGGGTAGCTTGCTATATGTTTCTTAAAGCTGAAGTATATATTTTTTATGCAGCACTATGCATGCTAGTTATATGTAATGGTGTGCATTCCATTACCTGAAGACTTTTACTTATGCTAAAAATTATCCCTGCAGTTTCTCTTTCACAGTCACTGGATATTTCCCTGAGCGGCTGTGAAAGTTAACAGCTCTCTCATAATGTATCATGTTGAATAAATGAACAGAGGAATTCTGTAAATGGAGGCAGAAGGGAGCAAGCGGATGGCACAACTTTCCTCAGCAGCAGCTGCTGTTACCCAAGACAGCCGCTCAGGGAATTATCTGCTGACTGTGATTAAGACACTGCAGGAATGATTTTTAGCAGAAGCAGATTCTTACAGACAATGGGATAAATACTATTACACATAAGTACTGCGTAGGGTGCTGTATTCCCCAACAGGGGCGGACTGACCATTTGGAAACTCGGGCACTGCCCGAGGGCCCGGGGTCAGTAGGGGGCCCCATGAGATGCCCGTGGTACCTTTTTCATAGGCTTTTTTGAGTTTGGGCAAGGACACAGGGGCCCCATGATCCCCTATTGCCCGGGGGCCCCATGAGTTGTCAGTCCACCCTTGTTCCCCAAACAAATGTATACTAATGTATCACCCTCCTAGTCAGGTAGTAGGAAAGAAAATTTAGTTTGAGCCCATTGTATTCAATGGGATTAAATTGCACTGTTAGGTAAATTTAGTTTGGCTCATTGTATTCAGTGAAGCTAGAATTTTCTTGGGTTAGAGTTTTGGTGCTAGTGTAGGTAAATTTAGTTTTGGCCCACTGTAACCAGTAAAGCTGGGTTTGATTGTTTTGGTCTGGTCTGTGTTCCAGGGGTTGCATGATTGCTTGCTTACCTCTGTTCACCTGGAGGAGCTCTGGGTAATAGAGGAAGGGAGGGTGTAAATCTGCAGCTTAATATTGATGTAGCCACAGCCAATCCCTGGGGGGCCAGGCCCAGAGGATTCTAGGAGAATGCACAAATACCTTGGAGCTGAGAGCAGCTTTTTCTCCTTCCAGAGTTTAAGATTAATGCCTAGGAGGCTCATTGGGCATTCCTGCCATGTGCTTGTCGAGTGGAGGCCCCAGATGGGAGTTTGCTTGGCCTGGAGCTACTGTAAGCTACTAAAGGCTGACTGGGGGGATGTTGCTTAGTCTGGGACTACTGGGAGAAACTACCTGCAGGATACTGGTAAGAGGCAACCATTTGTTTGGAGCCATCAGTGAGTACAGGTGGGGAGAGATCCTAGAGGCCCCTTTTGTATGTTAGAAGGTTGGCTGTGTGTTTTTTAAGAAGCTTTGTCCTGAAGAGCATAGTCATTCCATTCTTTGTGAAGAGGCTGTTGCTTGGACAGTTCACCGAAGAAGGCTCGACCTCCTTAATACCGTACTGCTAAACCTGTCCACTATCTGTTACACAGGGACAGTGTTCAGAGTTTCAAGAAGACAGTTTAGTGTCCTCAGGTTCATTACAGCATGTTATTGGTGTTTCCTACCTTCCCCATTCCCCGTCCAAGTTCAACCCTTTATTAAACATAAAAACTAATATCAGGAACCATGAACCAGGTGGAGACAGAAAGTGCAGTTAAAAACACACCTTTAATGAAATAGCAAATATATTATAGATCTGGAACGTAGTCAAAACACAAGCAGGGTTTGATTGCCAGAGCAGGTTATCAGATGAGCCAGAGTAAGGAAACCAGAAATCAGCCTAGTCAAGAGCCAAAAATCATGAACAGAAATCAGAAGAGAAGTCAGCCAGACCAAGTTGTACACAGGAACACAGGCAGGAACACACTGGAGATCATAGACCACACAAGGGCAAGGAGGAAATGGTAGCAAAAATATTAAAATGGTAGCTGCTTGTTAAGCAGCAGGAGCCCAGCCCTGGCAGTCCCCACTCCTTAATAACCCCTCCCCCTTGGGGAGGCACCAGGCTTGAGGGGAAAATGGAAATGGAAAGCAAAGAGGAGGGCAGGAGCATGTACGTCCAAGTATGAGACCCAAGAGTGTTCCTCCAGACCTTAACCCCTCCAGTGAACTAGATATTGTACGCATCCACGAAACCTGTGTGAGTTAATGGTAGATTGTATCTCATATTCCTCATGGTTGTCAATCTGATTCGGGCAAGGGCGTGGTACCGAGGTGGAATAGTGGTTACACACCAAAGGTTTTAATAGGGAAACATGGAATATGTTGGAAATATGCATGTTGGAAGAAAGATCTAATATGTATGCCACTTGGTTAACCCTACGTAGTATCCAGTAAGGTCCAATATACCGACCTGCCAGTTTTAGTGAGGGAACACGAAGTCCCAGGGTACAGGAAGACAGCCAGACCTTCTCCCCAACTTGGTAGGAGGGTGTGTCAGCAGTCAGCATGGAGTTTGTACCTCTCTCTTGAACATTGCAAGGATTTTTGGATCTGCACCCAAGTGGAACAGAGTTCTCAAAGATGTTTCTCTAACACAGGAATTCTCTGCGGAACGAATGTATCAGGCAACATGGATGGCTGGAACCCATAGTTCGCCATAAACAGAGATAATTAGGAGACAGCATTGATGGCATTATTGTGAGTAAACTCCGCCCAAGGTAACAGGTCTGACCAGTTGTTATGGTGGTCTGAAGTACAGCAACGTAGGAACTGCTCCAAGGCTTGGTTGGCCCATTCTGCGACCCCATTGGACTGCAGGTGATATGCTGAGGAGAAGGAAAGCTGAATTCCTAACTATGCACAAAAGGTTTACCAAAACCTGAAAACAAACTGGCTACCCCTGCCTAAGATGATAACTTTGAGTAACCCATGTAACCAAAAGACCTCTTGAGCGAATATTGATGCCAGTTCATTGGACATAGGCAGTTCTTTGGATCTTTAGCGGAATGCAATGTGACATTTTTGAAAAACGGTCAATCAGACATAAGAATGACTGTATTGCCCTGGGAGTTAGGTAAATCCACAATAAAATCAATAGATGAGTGGATCCAAGGCCTCTCTACTGGGTATGGGTTGTAGAAGGCCTACTGGAAGGTGTTGGGGTGTTTTATTCTGAGCACACACAGGACAAGCAGCTACAAAGGTGGTTACATCAGCACGGAGACTAGGCTACCAGAATTGTTGAGGCATAGACCATATGAGTTGATTTTTCCCTGGGTGCACAGCTGCTTTAGAGGAATGGTAGGTCTGGAGCAAAGCAGTGTGGAGATTCTCAGGGACAAAGCAGCGGTCATTAGGTTTTCCAGGAGGAGAATGGATTTGAGAAGTCAGACTTCTTTCACCCAAAGGTGAAGTGGGCATAGACCTATGGATCGAGGCTACTGTAAGACTGCAGACAGTTTCTCTGGGTCTGTCGATAACCCCACAGCAGGTATGACATAACCCAAAAATTTAACCTGTTCATGATGAAACTCGCACTTTTCCAACTTGCAATACAGGTTGTTTGCTCTCAACCGCTGTAGCACATGGGAGATGTCTGTGTGGTGGTTCTCTGGGGATTTGAATATACAGTATGAGAATATCCTCAAGGTAAGCCACCACACATTGCTGCAGCATATCCCGGAGGACATTGTTAATAAATTCCTGGAAGACTTCAGAAGCGTTGCAGAGACCAAAGGGCATTTTTGAGGTATTAGTAGTGTCAGCTCCTAGTATTAAATGCAGTTTTCCATTCGTCGCCCTTTTTAATCCTCACAAGATTGTATGCGCCTCTCAAATCAAGCTTAGTGAAGACTGGTGCTCTCTTCAGGCGGTCAAATAATTCCATTATCAATGGGATCAGATAAGCATTTTTAATAGTAATGCAACTGAGATTCCTATAATCGATACAGGGTCTCAGTTCACCACTGTTCTTTTTCATAAAAAAAAACCCAGCACCGGCAGGAGAAGAGGATTTGCGGATGAAATCCTGAGATAGTGAATCTGCAATATACTCCTCCATAGCTTTATCCTCCAAGACGGACAGAGGGTAAACCCAGCCATGAAGAGGAATGGCACCAGGTTGAAGATCATTTATACAGTCATAAGGTCCATGTGGCAGCAAAATTCCGGCCTGACCTTTGTCAAAGACATCAGAGAATTCCCGGTACTCCTCTGGCAAAGAAGAGACTAAAGGCGTGCACAAGACCCTACTCACTTTCTGAAAACAAGTATTAGTGCATTGTGGCAACCATGACAGAACCTTGGCTCTATGACAATCAAATGAAGGACTGTGCTTCTGTAACCATGGATAACCAATGACAACTGGGTAATGAGGCGAGGAAATTACTTTGGATTTGGATTATCTCACAGTGAAGAACCCCTACAGCCACGGTCAACAGATCGGTTTCATGGGTCACATGGGCAGGCTGTAGAATTCTTCTATTAATGGCAAGTGGGGAGGTAAGAGGCTGCAGCGTTATCAAGTGCTTTAACATGAAGGCACTATCTATGAAAAAGCCTGCAGCCCCAAAATCAATTAGTAACTGGGTGTTGATGGAAAACTCAGACCAGGAAAGGGTAACCGGAACTAGAGGCTTATCTTTAAGGATAGCTGGGGATGCAAAGATGCCACCTAAGGTCTGTCCCCTACAGGACCTCAAGTGCAGGATTGGACGGATTGGACAAGACTTCAATAAGTGACCTGCTTGGCCACAGTACAGGCACAATCTCTCCCTTCTCCTCTCTTCATGTGAAGCCCAGCTGCATGGGCTCTACTTCACTAGAAGACTCGGGCCCAGGAGGCATGGGTGGTGAGGGAGGCAATGCAAAGCTAAAAGCCAAATGTACAGGAGGCTTTCGCAAGCGCTCCTTAAAGAAAGGTCTCTCTCAAAGTTTGGTATCAATGAGAATGGCAACTCTTCAAGATTCATAGGTATTTCACGAGCTGCAATCTCATCTTTAATGTTATCAGAAAAGACATGGGAAAAAGCAG